GGGGGGGGGGGGGGGGGGGGGGGGGGGGGGGGGGGGGGGGTTGCACGCCGATGGGTACTGTGCCGTCGTCTCAGTGCAGCGGTAGTATTATATAGTCGACAACATGAACGACCTCGTGATGAGAGGCCATGCTTGTGGACGAACGTCCGACTGCATACACACGCATATCGACCGGGCAATTCACTGCTGCTGTCCTTCCGGTATGGTTAGCGCAACCTGACGCGAATGTCTACATCGCTCCGAGATGAACCGTACACCGGATTTCAGCTGACGGTTTTATTTGTGCCCGCTCATGTGAACGCCCTCACTCCATCCCCGAACCGCAGATACTACCCTGAAGCGCCTGGCAGCAGGATATCTGCGCACCAGAGCAGACCCGCGATAATGCCTGGTATCAAATTATGTACGCTCAGCAGGCGTTCTCGCTTCGTTCACTAAATCCTCGGGTTCGCCAAACATCCCCAGCTAGGCCCTACCCACCCCGTATCGCAGCCCGACAGCACGGCCTTGCTCTCCGCCATTCCGACAACAGCGCACGAGTAGCACACAGAGAATATTCGCCTTTCTACGCCCTCGATACACATCGACTTGTGCACTGGTTGTGGCGGTGGCTTGCGATCGACGTGATTCGTCAGCCAAGTATTGGCCCCCTTCTTTTCTGAAAGCGCAACGAACAAACACCAGGAGCAATAGGCCCATGCCATCTAACAAGATGTATGAGAGACATGCAGTCCCACAGTCACCTGTCAGCACCAACTTGTAGTCGTCGTGTTCCCTGAGCTGCTTTTCCACCTCCCCCTTTACAGCCGTCCAAACCCTCACGGCGCTACGCGAGATTCCTTGGTGGGCCTTGCCCCCTGCAAAGTCTGAATTGAAAACGGGCAGACACAAAATCAAAAACAATACGGTCGCTAAGCAGAGGTCCGTATGACGTAGAATCGAGGCCCCGGGCCGGCCGACATGCCGGACCGACTCAGGGAGAATACGGGTAGATGCGATGAAAATAGTAAGATCGTAGCGGCAATAGTTGAGGGTAGCACTGCAAAACGGTGCTGGCATGCTGTGTAATGCTCTAGGGTTCGGAGGTTCCTCGAACGGAATTATTTGCTAGCGCGGCCAGTGCCTACCAACCACTGGTCGGGCCATCGTTCGTTCAACTTCCCTCACTCGCGGGTCGATTAATAGTTCACATCAGAAAGAACAACCATCGTGCTTTCCCCAGCCGTTCAACGGTACACCTCTTCGCCCTGGCCGTACCGGTCAAGCAAGGCCCGACAAAAACACGTGAAACTCGCCAACAACGCCCCCATGCTGCCCAAGATGTTCTGAAACGCGGACGACTGGCGACTGGTCCAAATTAGACAACCGAAACCCCATGCCGAGTCTAGATCTTCGGACATACATGCATAGATTTACACAGCCGCACGCCTGGCGCTCGAAACGACCAGGCAACCCTGTCCGTCTGCCTGACGACGAGCTCACCGACCGTGTTGCACAGAAGATCCACCATAGTGTCTGTGAAGCTGTACGTGCCGCGGATGCTGACCACCACGGAGCGGGAGGCGTGGTCCACGGCAACGAAGTACGTTCGCGTCTCCAACGAGTCGCTGGTGGTTAGCTCCTTCACGTCGCTTGGGTCTACGCCCGTGCGCTTGCTTATGCACCACTTTCGGAGGTCGTCATTGCTGCGTCATCAAAACGGGGTCTCAAGTGTTATCATAGCGTCACATCAAGCGCCGGGGTACATGGCATTGCTGCCAAAGGGTCGAATCAACGCAAGGGGGCAAGGTAGCCTGGGCGAGGACAATACAAAAAGTGGTGCTGGCGGCTATTTAGGTTTTATCCACGCGCCGCCAGCGGTAGTGCACTCAATGGAATGTCGAAACAGTGCGCTCTTGCAGTTTGTATCAGGTGGTCTATCGGAGTATACGGTCCACATTCCATCGGTTATGCTTTTTAGTAGCGGACATCGTTCAAAACATGCATCTCCTGTACATGACTGAGACGACGGACGGTACCTCGAACGCTAGGAGTACGACGCCCAAGCATCGACTGGGCACGGCACCTCTCCGAATGTGAGTGCGGGTCTGATTTTGGTGAGGAAAAGCAGGCATGACTTGAAAACCTGTCCACGGGCAGCCGGTTAACGCCGTCGGCGTTAGAAACACATGCTCTTGCATACTCGTCCGAGACCCACAGTGCATACCCATTCAAGGACAGAAGGTGCCTAACCAGGCGTTCCGCCTCCAGCCCACCGTCCCAACTTTAGTTCCTTGAACGTAACGCTCCCCACAAACAATTGCAAGCTGTTCGCTTTGGATTAGTTCACGTTGTAGGCACCGACTTTTTCAAAATGGTGCACACGCTGTTGTGGGCCAGAAGCGGGGTTCTTTCCTTCTTCCCACCTTTTGGCAAACAGGTCGGGGGGTGGCAGAGTATCCCCCTCAGCCAAGATTTCTTTGACGGTGTCCACCACGCCGTCGTAAGAGGCCGCCGCGAAACGCACGTAGTGGGCGCTTCTTCGCAGCGTCCTTCGGTCTCGGGGGCTAAGATCCACCCGGGGCCTGTTCCGTGCGGACGTTTTCGCCGTCCGCGATCTCCGGGCCAGGAGCTGGCGGTCGTGCATGGCTTTGACCATGAGAAAGTTCAGCGGCAGACGCTTCCCCTCGTCCGCCGATAATTGGATGTCCTGGCCGGCAACGCCGCAAAATGGTGGTCGTTGCTAACTTACACGTGATCTCGGTGTGACGTATTATACTCTCCCGGCGGTTTGTGCCTGTGATGCCTGACTGAGCGACGTGGTAGTTCTTGATGCATCGATGCTCGCGGGGCCAACACCAGAGACGGGGATGCTTCACGAGGGGGGTTCGAGAGCGGCATCGCGCTGGGCACTTGCGAGGCATGCGCCAGCAATAGCTCCGCCCAGCAATGGAAGCGTGGAGGTGTCAGATGGATACACCCACCGATTAGCGAACCATGAGCGATTGCAACTGGTTTCCGCACCTCACTAACCGCGTCCCGTAAATCCTTGATCATGTGTCCCATGCTCTCCGCTCCGTCGGAAGGCACGAGCCACTCTGTGCGAGCGATGAATGTACAGAGGGCCGTCGGCGTTTTTTGAAAATTTCGTTTGCGGGCCAGATGATTGCTAAGCATACTACAGCAGCACCTTCAAAAACTTGGGGGTGGGACCTGGTGTAGGCTGGTCATCCTACACTCATGTTTTTTCTTTTTCGTACAGCAGTGGTCCTGCTGTACTCTGTCTACAATACGATACCGTAGAGTATGTACGTACCAGGGCTGCACACAACTTGAGACCTACCAGTACACAGATACATGCAGTTGTAGACTCGGTACCGGTTTGTTAGTAGTGCAGAATGTTCGGGAGTTGGATAGGAACGCTTCTAAGAGCTCTTGAAGAGTAAGGGGGTAACATCAGACATCGGACAGCACCCGATCTTTATCACTTGTTTCATCCATTCGTCCTGCAAGGAAGGCGGTTTGGTTACAGCAGTTGGTGCAGCGGTACAATAACGAGGTCCACGTTTGTTTGCCCAACCAAACAGCAGTTGGGTCATGCTTCCCACACTGCCACAGCAAATCAACCACAACGCGCACCCCGTAAACGAGAATGTACCTCTTGTGTCACCTGCCCCCATGAACGACGCAACCAGCGTTCTACTCGGGCAATCACATGCATCCACCTTCGAGTTGCGTTGCAAGCCTTGTCGAGAGAGTTGTCTCATTGGGCTCGGGCTGCTGCTGTGCTCGCGCGGGTGCAAGATATGCAGCAGACAGCGCGCTCACCGGCACCAGCACCCTTAGCGAGCGGAGGCGGGTACTCATCCTCGCCGGACGGCCACTCCTCTTGTTTGTCCCTGTATCAAATCGCAAAGGTAGCTCGTGGTCGTTGGCGAATACAAACACGCAAGACTTCCCAGACGATCGGTCCAGCACACGCTGGAATGAGGCGGGGGAAAAAGGCAGCGAAACCGAAAAAACAAAAACATTCAGAAAAAAAAATGGTTTCCCGGGAAGTTCTCGTTCTGAGACTGCTGGAGAGGCGCTCAAGGAGCTGGTGATTTGAATCCAAAGCTCGCGAGTTGATTGGCGCATCCAGATAACGGAACAACTTTCGAGAATTAAAAAAAAAAGCACGAGAGATCAAATCGGGCGCGGTGGATTCAAGGGTGCCACTGCGCACACGACTCACAACCTGCCCACCTGCTCTCGCTGGCTTTGAATCGAACAAGCCCTTTTCATTACCAAGGGAGAACCAAGCTAACTTGTGGGGGAAGAGCTCTGCAGGTGAGCTCTTTCATGCGACACACGGGAAGACAGCAGACGCGGTAAAGAGAGAAAAGTGCAAAAGGTTGGGTTTGCAGGTTTTATGAGGACCATGCGCGGCCTGCCTGCCTGGGACATATGAAAGCGCAGCAGCCGGAGCGGTAGGAATAAAGCATGATGCACCTTTACCTTAAGTTCCGTCCACCCCGCACACGCAGAATAGGTGTCAACGATGCCCTCTAAGCGATTGCAAGCAGGTGAAACACAGCAGTTGTCTGCTGGGGCTGTCTTCCAATGTTCCGTGCAATGTTCCATCATCGGCCATTGATGCTCCGCTCCATGTCTTTCATGATTTCGTACAACAGCTGTCGACCGACTCCTATCTTCTCTCCGTCCTCCGCCAAATGCCCTGCCATGTGCCATGACTACCACAAACTCTCCATCTTCTTCGCCTGATGCATTGCCTTGCTACCGCCCTGCCAGACAAGCTTTCATTGGACCCATGTCTGATACCAAAAATATGAGTGAAGATGCTGCCCGTGCGGCAGCAAATGATGTACCGCACCAGCAGCTGCAACCGCAGCACCAGCAGCACCAGCAGCAACAGCTTGTTGATCAGCCTTGTGGAACTATTGCGAAAGACCAACTTCTGTCTCAGTGCGAAGGAGGAGCGACTCGGGTTCTCGGCAAGGAAGGTACGGGGAGTGCGTCTCTACGCCCTACCAGTGTTGAGAGAGCGAGATCGACGAAGACTTTGTTTAATTTACCTTTTGAAAGGGAAGTTTCCATTTTTTGACGTGGGCTCCTGCAGATCTTTGAGGTCTCCTTGAATTCTCTAGACTATATTATGATACCTATGCGTAACACTTTGCAACACTATTCGTTGCCCTCGTGCATCGTCTCTTCATCGAGAACGCGAGAGAAATATTGGGGGCGGGGCGGGGGGCACAGGCGCACTAGAGTATTGAAAGTCTTACTGGGTAGTCGCACGAACTTGCACACGATGCACGGACGGCTTGTGGTTTCGTGTTCATCCAATTGCGTCATGTACGCATACCACCGCCTTCGGCAAAACAGTCAAACCCGCCTGCGTCTCTAGCATTGTTGCTCATCTACAGAGTACACGTAGGCATAGACTTGTGCTTAGCCTACCGGCTGGTGTCCCTCGGCATTTATCGTGCACACCAGAAAGACGTGGCACTCCGGCTAGAGCAGCGACACGTGCTAAATAGTCTAGGTGTTTAGATGCATGCATGCGGGAAAGCGAGAAGGGAAAACGAACGGCACTCGATGGACATGAGCGATCGCCGTTGTGTCTTTGAACGTTTGTTTGTAGTGTACGACCCGTGCTCGAGATGGTGCTGAGTATATCAGACGGGCGTGCCGGGGGATCGTGACGAGGACGGTAAATCGACTCTACCCTAATCTGACATGGTCAAGGGCATATTGATTCGAAAACAACCTTGCAGAGTACGGTGAAACTTTTTGTGGTACCATCATTGAGCAGTAATACGGTCGTTGGCAAGCCCAGCGGCTCTGTGTTGCTCGGGCCGTCCTACCGAAGGTGGCTGCTGGGTACAGAAACTCCGCACAACATCTACAATAAATCCCAAACCAGGCGTCCGAAGCCGCACTCGCCGCGACTCTCCCCCGTCCCGGGTTGTTCTAGGCCGTATTCAAGGCAGCGACATGTTATCAATATTGTAGCGGCATGAGCTGTGCTGCCGCAGGTCCGCAGGAGATGGGGTCTGTGATCTGTGACGGAGAATGCACCTGCCGAAGATGAATAGTGAACTTTTCAGACCGCAGCTACACAGAGGTAGGCTTTGTTTGCACGTTTGCACGGCCTGAACAGCAGATCTGAGGGTGGCAGCTAGCAGAGCAGTGCTGGTCCATGATACCCTCTACTGGTACAACAACAGCATTTATTTCATGACGGGACTCCGAGGACGTAAAGACAGAAAGACCTTTGTTGACCACCGGAAAGAACTTTGTTGCCCACCCGCCGTGTTGGATCTTTGTTGGGTTGAAATCTTTATTATCTTGTCTGGCATTCAAATTGTCTTGACTTGGAACGTCGTGTGCGCAGGTGGGCTGCATTGCTCGTGGTTAAGATGAGCCCAACCCCTGCTTTGTGCGACCCTCAGTTAATCGTTTTCCACCCTTTCTTTCTAGGACTTACTCCGCGAAATTTAGGGCGTTCTTTCGGTCGTTTTCCAAATCAGTCCAAGCAAGTCAAATCAGTCCGAATCAGATGAAGCAGGTGTTTCTTGGGTTTTGGAAGGACAAATAGAAATAGAAGAAAATCGTCGAGGCCTAAACGGTTCGGTGCCCAGAATCTAAAAAAAAAAGTAGCCAAGCGCGGGGAGAACACGCCCACAATCTTCGCGCTGGTCTGGTTTTTAGTGTTCGATATCTGATTGGCCGAGTGGGGGGAAAAAACTACACGTACCGCAAGAATCCCAGTCGTGGCACGGATCGCCGACACCGCACGTGTCGGGGTCTTGGCAAAGGGCACAGGGGGTGCGGAAACAAATCGGGTTCCAATTTTAATCATTGACATCGCACGTAGATTATTCGATGCACCCATGAGAACGCACATGAGCCATGCCCCACACCTATTTTTTACCGACGGAACCACCCAACCACGAGCGACCCACATCGACCTACACAACCTAGCACCTACCCACGTTGACACCAACCTAGCACCTATGCAAGCCAACGAACCTATTAGGTCGATCGCACAAACACCAACCTAGCACCTATCCAAGCAATACCAACCTTAATATTATCCCATCAATACCAACCTAGCGTCAATGCCGACACACCAACCTAGATCTGAGCCACCCAGCGCCAACCTAGCCCCAATGCCGGCACACTAACCTAGTAGAACTGAGCCACCCAACGCTAACCTAGCCCTCGTGCCGGCACACCAACCTAGACCTGAGCCACCCAGCGCCAACCTAGCCTCAATGTCGGCACACCAACCTATTAGAACTGAGCCACCCAACGCTAACCTGGCACCTACTGGGGGGGTTTGGGGTTAGGGTTAGGGTTAGCGTTGATTAGCCGGTTTCATGTAAGTTGCTGGGTTGATGGAGAGAACACTGCGCCTGCCTGTAGTAGAGCGACAGGTAGAATAAACGCATACATGTTCGTGACTCTCGTTCCTCACTCAAGTTTTTGGTCCGTGAAAAAGGTATGGGTGCAGCATGGCTTATATGAGTCCCTGTGGGTGCATCGCCCCGGTGGTCTAGTGGATAACCTCGCAGCCTGCTAAGGGCCAGGTCGTGGGTTCGAGTCCCGGCAGAGTGATTTTTTGCTCGCTAAATAAATCCTGGTCTATGATGAAAGCGACGCGCTGCAAAGCTGTTTGTTAGTAAACCATAATCGACTTCGTAAGTCGCGAGGGAAGGGATTGCTGTACCCTTCTCGCGATAAAAATACCTCAGGCAGGAACCGCAGGAGGGGGTCCAGCCCCCCCCTCCTATGTGACCCCGGTTGGGTCGTCTAGCTGGTAGAAGTGGAGGATAGGGGCCAGAGGGGCAGACGACAGAATCCGATGATGGGAGAAAAAATACATTCTATATATATACTGTATATAATTTTTTGGATATCGCACGGGTACACCGGTCGCCCCGGTGGTCTATCTAGTGGGTAGCCTCGCAGCCTGCTAAGGGCCAGGTCATGGGTTCGAGTCCCGACAGAGTGAGTTTTTCTCGCTAATTAAATCCTGGTCTCCGTTGGAAGCGACGCCCTGCAAAGCTCGTTGTTAGTAAACTTGATCGACTTCATAAGGCTCGAGGGAAGGGATTGCTGTACCCTTCTAGCGATAAAAACATCTCAGGCAGGAACCGTAGAAGGGGGTCCAACCCCCCCCTCCCATGTGACCCCGGTTGGGTCGTCTAGCTGGTAGTAGAAGTGGAGGATAGGGGCCAGAGGGGCAGACGACAGAGTCCAATGATGGGAGAAAAACAAAAAAAAACAGGTATCATGCACTTCGCACAGGGGTGTGCTAAGATCCGCAAAGATCCTAAAGAACCTTATGCGTTTGGTGAAGTTGGGCGATACACGACGGTATCCAGCGTTTTTCGCGGGAAATTGCTGTGCCCCGGGAGCTTGTATCGTCGGCTCCACCGTGGTTCTTTGGCACCGTGATGATTTAATAGACCTATTTCAAGCATGTAACATTATTCATTGTTGTTACTATCGGAATCGTTAAACGTTGTGAACCGCAAGCGCGTACAACCGCACGAGAGAGACCAAACGACCACAACCAACTATCAATGCCACGATAAACAAGCAGGATAGCGGAAAACAATGGGTATACCTGGCCAAGGACAGCTTCGGCCAAATGGTGCATCCGCCGTATGCCACCACCTGCGTCGTTTTCGTTCGTGGCACCGAACCACCGCTCCCCTACCGGCCGTAACCCACTGCAGTCAGAGCGTTCTAGCGCCAACCTTCTACCAACAGGCCCACGGGAAACCTCTACTGGCAAACACCAGAAAGTTCGTTGTGTTATGATCCTGCTTTGCTGCAATATCGTACACACAGGTGCTGGTGTGTGTTCGCTGTGAAATGATCAGGATCGTACATATCGGAGTCTTGGTATGGGGGGCTGCGTTCAAGACAGCCTGAAATCGCCGCTTTGTTTATATTCGGAATCGCACGGGTCGGAGTCATCTCACGGGGTGTGAGATATTGGTTCAGGACCAAATTAATCATATCATTTCTCGCACATGTTTCGGGTTCTTGGCACGTATCCTCGTCTTGGCACCCCTGTGCGATAAAGTCTGAGAGCAAAAACATTAAAAACGATGACCGCACAGTGTGCAAAGACCTGCGTACTTACGGCACTATGCAAGGCGATCCACTTTATTATCGTTCCTCATACATGAGCCCCAAGTATCTCTCCCTTCTTCGTTTGACCCCTTTCTCCGCAAGTTTCTGACATAGCCCCCTGTTGGATCGGCCTGCAGCGATAGCTCGTGCGTGGACATAGCCCAACCTACTGTTCGAGCGTAGATATGGTCGGCGAAAGTTCTGTGCTTGTGCTGTTATGATGTCTTCAAAAAGATTGTGGTACATCATGCATTCTGCAGACCTACCAAAGCGTCGCCTGACCCCCCCCCCCCCCCCCCCCCGC